ATGTGGCTTTCTGATAAACTGAAGATTGCTGGGCAGTTGCCCTTTCTATTCTCTTGTTACTACAAGCATCATGGCCAGTGAAGTTGCAGAACTTTTCAGAAGTGCCCGTGAGTTATTTTTGTGGCTTACAAAATAAAGCATCTCAACCTGCAAACCTATGCATGTTTAAGTCAACTGCATCCTATTTAGCTAATATACAACTCACCAGATGGTGTGAGAAGAAAATATGATACCTTTTAAAGATCTTCCCATCCTTTCAGGATTAGTCTTAAACTTGTCCCAAACCAGTTTTACCCCACTAGTTTTTAAATTTGCCCTTATAATTTATGAACATCTAAGCATTCCTTTTGGGAAATTAGAAACTCATGAAGCATATTTCTGACTCACTGGTTCTTTTATGGGAAGAGGGGTAATTGGTTTTTTAAGTTCTGCTACTTCCTAGCCATAACGACAAGAATGAACTTTCAGTTGTAGGAACCATTCAAACATCAGTTAAAGTGTTTCACCTTTGACAGATAAAAGCATGTTGGCCTGGATCTTGACATGTTGCAAGGAATTTGACTGAAATTTATCTGCGTTTTGTATCTTCCAAGAGTCTGGCTGTTCATATAAAAATGATCATGCTGATCCTTGAAGGAAAACAATCCAATGTCCCCAGTTCAACAATTCATTAAGAAAGTGCAAAAGAGAGAAGCAAGTTTTTCACTTTCTCCAGGAGTCCTCATCACACAAAATATTTCAAAAACTCTGAGGTGCTTGATGAACAAGTGGAAAACTTGCATTGTCTCTTGGGTGATTTTGGTTGAACTTAATAAGGATATTGCCCAATATCCTTATTAAATTCAACCAAAGAAGTGGAAAACTTGCATTGTCTCTTGGGTGATTTTGGTTGAACTTAATAAGGATATTGCCCAACTCTGAATGCTGGATTTTGTGTGTGTGCCATTTTAACTAGTCCTAAAAAAGCTGTTGCTTATTATAATGTTAGATTACTCCTACAGGGTTGTAACCCTGTGAAGCAGTTACCTGGGGGTAATAACTCCCTCTAGGGAAAACCTTGGATCTGCTCCCTTCCTTGCTTGTGCATTGGCATCACAGCATCCTGGTGGTCCCAATCCTGCATTCCCCATGATCATATGAAGCTGGCTTGATCCCCTTTCTAGCCCCAAACTATCATACTGGAATTGGATGGAAAAAGAAGCAATTTTGTCCTGCTTAAGCCAGCACACCCCAAGCCACCCCAAGCTGACTTTGTTTTCCCTGAAGCTTCCCCAGCACCACCCACTCTTGCGGGAAAGTGTGATCATAAGCCCAACCCTGCAATAACCCGTCTTTTCCAGATTCCTGGGGAGAGATGCCTGTATCTTAGCAGAGGCCCAGGCAAGAGATTTCTGCCACTGCCTGATTTCACAATCAGCTGTTGTCAAATATTCGCCTGCCTGCCTGCCGGACAATGCATGGCATCGGAGAGAGGTGGCTTCTCTCTGTCCCAGCAAGCTTTCTCATGCCCAAGTTCCCCAGGAAGAAAAGCTCACTGCTGCAAAAAACAGCTGGTCAAATCCACCACTGGATCGTGTGTCCCAAGCCCAAGAGATTACTCCCAACTCATCCAGCATAGACAGGCAGCCTCAGCCCACTTCCTCACTGTGGTGCTATAAAACTCACTAGTTAGTGGGTCTGTAAGCTCAAAAACGTCAAGGTGGCAGTCACGACAGTGTGATCAAAACTCTGTTGCAATGCCCATAAGAAGTGGATGGAGCTTCAATCGCACCACCCCAGAAACATCTTGATGTTTCTGACCACACCCTGTGGCCACCCCTGTCTGGTTTCTCAAGCGCAGAGAATTAGCGTCTCTCCTTGGAGCCGGGTTGAAGGTGATGGGTAACAACCGCCCGGCAGAGTTCAAATGCCTTGTTCTGTTCCTTCCCTCTCACTTTCTCTAGCCACCCTAAGCAAGCTTAAAGCAAAACAAAAGCCACTAAGTAAAGCCTCTTGCTTTTCTGGGGCTGCCCCATCAGAGGGCTCAGAAATACCCCAAGGAAAGACCCGCGGCGGGCCTCCGCCCATGCAACTCCGCCGCCACGCATTTTATTTCAAAGTGTTGACTCCGAGCAATTGTGTACATTATATACAGATAGAT